GTACTACTCCATTAACAAATCCTTTTTTTGTAAAGCAAAAGTAACCCATTCAAATTATGGCAAATTACAAAGTGGGTAGGAGGGGTTCTAAATTAATGAAATTTTACTGTTTGTAGGATAAAGTTTCTAGGGCCTTCATGGTGCTCAATACTGGTAAAAGCGGGTTCAGAAAATAGCACAGTAATTCTTCCCAGCATAGCATGACTCGTAAGTTTACAGAGTCTAAAAAGTCAAGAATTTGAAGATAAAGATTTTTAAAATCACTACCCTGAAACCCCAAACTGCGATGCCACAATTCCCATTCCTCCTTAAGGTCACCTTTTATAATGATGATCTATAGAACCACAGATTTTCCCATTTAACTCTTACAGATGGAAAATAAAGCCCCAAACATCAAGTTGTTTGTTCAAGTTCATTAAGTTAGTGGTTATTACTGGATAAGGAGATGCCTGTTTTTTGGCTTCTGGTGCAGTGGTTTTTCTTCTGGGTATGCTCTTTTAGCTTTTTGCATTACTTACCTCCTCAGTGTTTAAAAAAAGAGCATTTAGCTAATGTTAAAATTCATACAACTGTCCAATTCAAGATTGGACATCTCTCTATCCATAATCTTTTTTCACAAAATTCTGCTCCACAAGTTCTTTGTATATTCTTGTTGTTGAAATGCAACTCCATAGGGCTATCCATCCGTAGATTCCTCTGTTCCTTGACTAGCTGTAGTTTGGGCACACATCTTTGCTATTTTTGTAATGGTAAGTTTGGTTAAGGAGAAAACTAACATTCATCAACCTTTTGCTATGTACCACATGTCAAATGTGTAGATTAACGTGCTCTAACTTAAATTAGGAATTATGATTCTCAAAACAACCCCGTGAGGTAGATTTTCTTGCTCCTTATACAGATGAGGAAATTAATCAAGGATAAATCACTCACCCAAATATATGCAGATAGTACAGAGCAGAGACCTGCTACAAATCCAGAGCTGGCTGACTCTCACGTCCATTCTTTTTTTCCCTAGCATGCTACATCCCAATTGCTGTGCTTGGAACATTGGCACATTTTCAAAGTCAAATAGACACAGGGAAAGTGAAGCAGATAAATTATGCCTTACATATATATTGAGGCTTAGCTAGATTGGCAACTCGGCTCCTAATAAGGCCCAATCATTCCCACAGTGTGGTCTCAATACACCAAATGTGCATATTGTACCCTTCAGGTATGTCAGAAGGAAAATAGAGCAATTATAAACAGACTCACAATTATACGCTGTGAGAAGAAAGCATCATGAGTTTACTAATGAACACATGATAATTATGCAAAGAGACAACCTACTTTACCAGGGAGGAAAAATAGTGGTTTGTTCAGCATCGTTCTCTTAGCAAATATAACCCTGTGAGAACAAGAACGACGAGCAGACTTTGGATTTCATCAGCTAGATGTTGCCTACTCTGGTCCTACAGCCCTTAAGTCTCTAAGTCCATCTTAAGGTTTCTGGTTGTCACCAGAAGAAACACAGAGAACATTGTCACCACCAATGACCAAGCAGGTGCTCAAGAAGGACAGCAATTATAGTTGAATCTTCTTTTTTTTTTTTAACTTAGCCATTTCATGGACCACTGGAGCTGGAAGATATCTTAGATATCACCTTTGTAAATCCTTCATTTTACAGGAAATGGAGACCGGGAGCAGAGGTATGACATGATCCCAGGGCACACAGGATGTGGTAAGTAACTAGAAGAGCCAGTTTCAGAAGAAACATCTCCTGACAGGACAGTCAGAACTCTCCACAGCAGCTCATATGCACAGTTTGGGTGGAGTTGGGTGAGTATATTCTTTACTCTGCTTTT